CGTCTTAGAATGGCAGTCATCAAATATATTTTAGAATAAAAGTCATCAAAAATAAGAAATGCTATGAAACGTACAAAAAAAGTTCCATAAAAAATTCCATAGTATTTCTGTGTGTATGCTGACCACTTGTTGACAGGTTTTTCCCTCAATATCCTGTCCAATTAATTTCTGAAAAAATTAATTATATTTATGAAAATGTGAATATTCATTAATATTTTAGTTTGAAAAAGAAATTCAACTTATACAAAACACATTTTAAGCATTTAAGCATAAATCTTTATATCATGTTTATAAATATCCCAAATATTTATTTATTCATATCTGTCATTATCAAATCTTCAGCTTAAATTTGGCCACTTGTTGACTCCCATGTGCATAAAAATCCTACATAATAATATAATTGCTATAAATGACTTTCTTTAGTGTTATATCTGATATATATTAGGGCTGTGCAAAAATGAATTGCGATTAATCGCATCCAAAATAAAAGTCTGTGTTTACATAACATATTTGTGTGTGCTGTATATAATTATTTTGTATATACAAATACACACACATGCATGTATATATTTAAGAAAATGTGTTATTCATATATAAAATATTTATATTTATATAATATAGATTATGTATTTATAATTTAAGCGCAAATAATTCTTAAATATATACATGCATGCATAGGTATTTATATATACAAAATAATTATACAGCACACACAAATATATTATGTAAACACAGACTTTTATTTTGGATGCGATTAATCGCAATTAATTTTTGCACAGCCCTAATATATATCAATTATAAAATATTCATTTGTTTAATTATACCTCGTCAACATAATTAGTTTGTTTTGGATTTCATGTGACTATTTATTCATGTATATCAAATTTTCAGATAAAAAAAAAAGAAATTCAACTTCTACACAACTAATTTAATCATTTAGGCAGACAAAATAGTTAATTGAAATGGAAAAATTGAGTTAATACAATGAAGGAGATTTAATCATCAGAAACTCAAAACATTATGTTATATGAAATACATACATTATTTAAGTTGATTTGACAAAAGAAAAAACTGTTGTGATTACAAATCATGAAAATATTTTTTACTGTGATATAATATAATAATAAGCAGCCTAATACTGTTGCTTTAAAATACTTTCTTTTGTGTTATATCTGATATATATTTATAATATATGAATTACATTATGCCTCTTCAACATCATTTGTTTATTTTGGATTTGATGTGACTATATTTATTCATGTATATCCAATTTTCAGATTAAATGTAGAAATTTAAAAATGAAATTCAACTTCTACACAACTACTTTAAGCATTTAGGCAGATAATACTATGATATAATATAATAATAAGTAACATAGTTATTATAAATTACTTTTTTGTGTTATATCCTATATAGGCTAATATATGAATTACATTATGCCTCACAACACCATTTGTTTGTTTTAGATTTCATGTGACTATATTTATTCATGTATATCCAATTTTCAGATTAAATTTAGAAAAAAGTAAACATAAGCATTTAGGCAGATAATACTATGATAATAAGCAATAGCCTATAGTTGCTATAAATCACTTTCTTTTGTGTTATATCCAATATATAAATTACATTATGCCTCTTCAACATAATTTGTTTGTTTTAGATTTGATGTGACTATATTTTATTCATGTAGCATATCAAATTTTCAGATTAAATAAAGAAATTCAACTTCTACACAACTATAAGCATTTAGGCAGATGATAATAAGTAATATAGTTGCTATAAATTACTTTCTTTTGTGTTATATCCGATATGAATTACATTATGCCTCTTCAACATCATTTGTTTGTTTTGGACTTCATCATGTGACTCCTACTCATCAAATCTTCAGATTAAATTCGGCCACTTGTTGACCTCGTCAGAAACTGGCAGGAAATATAATCCAGCCAGAAAACTGTTTGGCTCGTCCCTTTTTATGTCTGAATGCACATGAGCTTCTGATGCCAGTCTATAAATCTAGTGTTTTCCCAGATGTGGGATCCCCGGTAACCCGAGAGGAGCGCGTGATGCCTTACCCTGGCAGGCGGCGATGGCAGCATCCACATCGGCTGCGGCGAGCATGCTGGCGACGGCCATTTCTCTGCTTCTGAGTAAAGCTGCAAAACAGGAGATTGAGTGAGAAAGATTCACGCATGAGTTCAATAGCTCTGAGAAACTCAATTCTACATCATGAACCGGCCTGGTTCCAAACTGACAGTAGGCTATAGGCCTATCCACACCCGTTATCCTCAGAGTTTACATAACTCTCCAATGTCTTATCGCCCTCATCCATCGCGGGACGTGAGAGCACACATGATGCTCTCCCCGTTCCTAGTAGTATATTCCCACCATCATCACCATCTAGTGAGCTGATGTTCAGTGGATGTCCCCTGCTGAGGAGTATGAATGTGTGTCCACTTGCACTCACCTTGCGCTCGTCTAAGGCGAGTGAAAAAGCGAAGGAGTTGCTAGTCGAGGTGTGAGCGGCTCCTCCGCGGCTCCGGGCTTATATAGCCCTCAGCCTCACCATTTACAGGAATTCGATGCTCAGTAACGGATAGCTCTAGGTTTGGAATAGTATCGAAAAAATGTGTCCAGTAGTCAAGTCGGACTATTTTTAGTTTTCACAAACGGCGTTTAGAACCGCGTGTGGGACCCTATAGATCATGAGGCCCTCCCTCGGGTTGAGCTGCCGTCCCTTTCCCTGCATGCCTCATCATCTCGGGGAGACATCTGATTGCTTTCATTCGTCCCCGATTGTTTGATTGAGGGGGTCGTGTTTCTCTTCCAGGTAGAAACTCTGGCACGAGATGTCACATGGAGATATGATTTGTTGAAATCTTCTTATAGTCTGTGCAATCTGAAACCTTCCTTACAATGTCAAACACAGATCGAGTCATTGCTCATCTTTACAAATTCACTTATGGTATTTTATCTAGCCTATCTTATCATATTTTCATTTTTTTTATTTGATCTTATAGGCTATCTCATCATATTTTATTATTTGATCTTTAATCTTATATTTTTATCATATCTTTTGATCTTATATCTTATTTTGTCTTATTTCATCATTTTTATTGTGATGTAGTGTCTTCTTTTATCATATCATATATTTTATTTTTTATTTCAATCTTATTTTATTTGATCTTATCATATGTTATCTTATATCTTATTTTATTTATATCTTATATGTTATATTATCTTGTTTTGTATTTTTATCTTATATCATCATATTTAATTTATTTTATTTCATATCTTATCTAATTATTATTTTATCTTATATATTGTCTTCTTATCGTATTTTTCATTTTTTTTTATTTGGTCAGGCTGTATCATATCATATTTTATTATTTAATTGTATTTTACATAATATAAAATATTATTTTATAATAGTATATGTTATTTCATCTTATTGCATTTTATTATCTTATTTTAAGAAGAAATTATATATATATATATAATTTTTATTTTGTCTCATCATATTTTTATTTTATTTCATATCTAATCTTGTTATTATTTTATCTTATATATTGTCTTCTAATCGTATTTTATTTATTTATTTTATTTGGTCAGGTTATATCATATCGTATTTTATTGTTTAATTGTATTTTTTATTTCATCTTATTGCATTTTATCTTACTTTAAGAATAACTTTATTATTTTTTATCGTGTATTATCTTATTTTAAATTATTTTATTTTTTTGTCTTATTTTTATATTACATCTTATTATAGGCTTTTATTTACATTTATGTCTTTTCTCTTATTTTATCTAATCTTATATATTATCATATTTTATTTTTTATTTTGTCATATCTTTTTTTATTTTATCTTATTGCATTTTATTTATTTTTTTCTTTTATATTACAATGTATCATATATATATATATATATATATATATAAAAGATAAATAAAGATATAAGTTCAATAAAAAAATTTAATTATTAAAATAAAAAATATGATATAAGACAAACTAAAAACTATTTTTTTTTTTTATATATATATATATATATATATATTAGTTTTTATTTTGTCTTATATCATATTTTTTATTTTGATAATTTTATTTTTTTATTGAACTTATATCTTTATTTATTTTATCTTATCGTAATTGATTTTTTTTATTTTATATGTTATCTTATATATTATTTTATTTACATTGTTTATTTTATATTATCTTGTTTATATTTTTTATCTTATCATCATATTTATGTTATTTCATATCTTATCTTATCTTGTTATTATTTTATCTTATATTTCCTCTTATCGTATTTTATTTATTTATTTATTTTATTTGGTCAGGCTATATCATATCGTATTTTATTGTTTAATTGTATTTTTTATTTCATCTTATTGCATTTTATTATCATTATCTTACTTTAAGAATAACTTTATTATTTTTTATCGTATAATATCATATTTTAAAATATTAGATTTTTTCTTATTTTTTATATTGCATATATATTTTTATTTTAATTGATATCTTTTCTTATCTTATTTTATCTAATTTAACATATTTTCATATTTTTATTTTATTTTGTCATATCTTATTTTTATTTTTAAAATTCATCTTATTGAATTTTATTAAATTTTTTATTTTAAATTACATTGTATAATTCATATATGAAGACTTCAGATGCAAAATGCCATTTGAAATTTTCTTCTAGAATGATCATTTTTATCAAGCTTGTATATTTAAGTTCAGTGATTTCACTTAAATGGCAATGATAATTACCTATTAATTGTTATTTAAGTGAAATTACTGAACTTAAATATACAAGTTTGATAAAAATCATCATTAAAGAAGAAAATTTCAAATGGCATTTAGAGACTTTTGCATCTGAACTCTTCATATATATATATATATATTTTACTGCTGTTGTTATTGTGATATTTGTTTTGTTATGTCTTCTGTTTCATAAACTTGAGAGGTAAAAACATAATAAAATCACATGAAACAAAGAATTCCCATACTTGAGACTTCACTTTATTGAGCAGTTTCATTTCCGATCACTAGTTACAGAAGCAAGTTTTTATTCAATTGTATTCCCAAACATGATTTGCACATTTTCTACAAAGGCTGCACTCTAAAAAATGCCGGGTTGTTTAAACCCTAAACTTTGGTCAAATATGGACAAACCCAACCGTTGGGTTAAGTCTTCTATTTAAATTATTTAACCCAGTATTTGTGTTTGTTTTGGGTTTACTTTGGGTTTAAACAACCCAGCATTTTTTAGAGTGTATTTTAATTAGCAACTCATAAACAACTTATTTAGCAACTTAAAACACAAGAACGAATCACAGATAACACATGCAAATAAAGAAGAGAGAATCGTGAAATGAAGTCAATCCAGACAATCGCCCCGTTCTCAGTTCAACAGGCCGCAGAACTCTGAGGGGGGAAAGAGAGAGAAATGAGCGTCGGCCCAAATTCGGCCCACATGTACCAGATGTGGCCCGGATCTGCCGGGTGTCACATTAGCCTAAATGAAGTCAATTAATATCAAAGTGTGGATGTTTCTCACATGCAAATCTAATCCTATCCAACACCCTGCTGGAAAGACATTGTCGTGGGAGAAAGAGAATTCCCAGTCTTTCAGGATAATCAGTACATGTGTGTGTGTGTGATTCTCATGTGTCGAGCTGATTAATTCCCCAGGCTATAGCCGAGGAGCCAGACAGTGGTTTCTATAGGAGTACGGCTCCCCATGGGCCGGTTCAACCTGTGATTTGGCTTTGTACCTTCCATCCCGATTTTGCCGTCTCCGTCGCTGTCCCCAGCCGTCAGGAGGGCGTTGGTCTCCGCCTCCGTGAGCTCTCTGGCCCCAGCGGAGAAGTTCTGGAGGAAGCGTCTGGAGACCCAAGCAAAGAACACCATGGTCAGAAAGGGCTTCGTGTGGTGCCGTCACACAATCTGCCTCACAATACAAACACTTTACTTCAGCTCCTCTTTTTCGATGAATCCACTCTTGTCCTGGTCCAGGGCCTTGAACACCTTCTCCCCATCCGAGGAGGCTTTACCAATCAGACCCACTTGTTCAAAGAACGACTTGTATTGGAACGTTCCTGGGGCTGAAAGACAAAAATATATTAAATATTAAAGCCTACATTTGAATTTCATATAAATACTTCCTTAGACTTCCTTAGATTTCCTTAGATTAGATAAGGAATGACTTCCTTAGATTTCTCTGTGAGGCGCGTTTGCAACGTCACGTAGTACGTAATTACGTTCAAAAGGTCACGGGCGACGTAGCCGAAAGTACAGAGTCAGTGTTTACAAGTTGAACGCATAGGTTGAACGTGCAAACTAGCTCAAACACCGTTTACAAAAAAAGGAATTAAAAGGAAAAACAACGATGTCGGACGATTTTGATTCTGTACTTCCGGCTACGTCGCCCGTGACCTTTTGAACGTAATTACGTATTACGTGACGTTACAAACGCGCCTCACAGAATAGAGCAAGGCTAGCATTTGTCCTTAGAAAAGTTACATTTTTGGAATAAGTTTTGAAATAACCGATCGTTTCGCATGATAAGACCCTTATTCATCGTCTGGTGTCGTTTAAAGACATTTGAAGCTGCATCTGAAACTGTTATTAACTCTTTTGGACCTTGAACTGTTTGGTTCCCATTGAAGTCTATTATATGGAGAAAAATCCTGGAATGTTTTCATCAAAAACCTTAATTTCTTTTCAACTGAAGAAAGAAAAACATGGACATCTTGGATGACATGGGGGTGAGTAAATTATCAGCAAAAGTTTTTTCAAAAGTGAACTACTCCTTTAATGCAAATGTATTGATGAGATGTTGTGGTCGCCCATCAATGCAAATGTCTCTGTGTATCAGAAGGATAATAAACATGCTGGTACAGATCGTACCACCAGTTCGGCCAGATTTGGCTCGTAGTCGTCCATCTTCGGATGCGGCGCCGCGCGCAAAGTTACAAAAAGTGCCGCGCACACCGCCAGGCACAATGGGGTCTTGCGGACCCTACGCGCACGACCGCCCACACCCGAATGGCATCATTTTTGGCGCGCGCCCTTCGCGCTCTTGCGGACGCGTCGAGTATAAACAAGGCTTTACGCGCGTAAAAAATTCCTGCGGCGCGAATGAGGCAAAGAGCACGGCACGGAAGGTGCGAATACGCCCCATTCGCGCGTCAAGTTCGCGCGAATGACGCGAATTGAGCGTCTGGCGCGTAAAGCGCATTATGCGCGAATGATTTAGTTAGTGCTATTTGTGCATTCACGTGTTTGACGCGAATTCAAGCGAATTTGACGCGCTATTCGCGTTCAGTGTGAACGCAGCATAAACGTTCGCTGCAGTTTTGCTGCCTGGCTCTTTAAATGCTCGAGCTCGTCATAGCAGGATGGATTCTGATTGGCTGCCAACGTCAATTGACCGTAAGCACAGATGCACTACTTCCTGAACTTCAGCCAGCTCCTTGTTTCCTGTCTGTCATTATTGGCCAAATTGATTAATCCAGTTGTGCCTGACCTCAGTAGTCACGGCAACAATAATCAGACACACCTGAATTAATCAAGTTCGGCCAATAATGGCAGACAGGAAACAAGGAGCTGGCTGAAGTTCAGGAAGTAGCGCATCTGTGGATAAGGTCAATTATGCCTGTGGTGTGGTCTCGACTATTCTCTATTACTCTATAGGCTAGTTAGTTTAGATGTAGCCATTTTAGGTTACAATAGTTGCATTAACTGCCAATAAAGTTGTATTATAATGTATAATACGTTTTTTTAGGGCTGTCAAACGATTAATCACGATTAATCGCATGCAAAATAAAAGTTTGTGTTTACATAGGCTAATATATGTGGGTGCACTGTGTATAATTATTTTATATATATAAATACACACACATGCTTGTATATATTTAAAAAACATTTTCATGTATATAGATTTATATATTTATATTATATATAAATATTTTATATATAAATAATATTTTTCCTTAAATATACACGTGTATATTTATATTAGGGTTTATATTAGGGCTGGGCAACAATTAATCGCGATTAATCGCATCCAAAATAAAAGTTTGTGTTTACATAATATATGTGTGTGTAGTGTGTTTAATTAATTTGTATATATAAATACACACACATTCCTGTATATATTTCAGAAAAATGTGTTATTAATGAATCAAATATCTAAATTTATAGGCTATATAATATGAATTATGTATAAATATATATAATGTATATACATGCAAATATTTCATGCATGTGTGTGTATTTATATATATAAAATAATTATACACACTACACACACATATTTTACGTAAACACAAACTTTTATTCTGGATGCGATTAATCGCGATTAATCGTTTGAATCGTTCGCAGCCCATGTTTATAAGTAAAATTTAAAAAAAAATGCAAATGTGATAAAAACAAATTAGGCTAGATTATATTGCCAACATGCGTTTGTGTGCCATATTTAAGAAAATTACGGTAAGCGTGATTTGAGATGTGTATGGCTGGTGTGAGTGTGTATGATCTTGGATACTCGGCACAAACACACTGGGATCCTGATGGCAACCAGTCTCCGGCTGCCTGGATACCTGGATCTACCCATTCCCAATGCACCTGTGTGTGTGTGTGTGTGTGTGTGGCATTATGGGGACACAATGCCCCCACAAAAATGGCAATATCCGAAATCCTTGTCCTTATGGGGACACGTTTTTATATATTATGTCCATGAAAAGTGCCCAGAAAACACAATGTGTGTGTGTGTGTGTGTCTCACCTTGACAAGCCTGGATAGCTGCAGCAATTTTGTCTTGTTTCAGGATTCCTGCGAGTGCCATGATTCTTCCCCCAAAGAGTTCTACAATTACAGAACCAGTGAAATACTGAATCAAGCATGTTGGAATCATCATACGGTGGAAGTTTTATTAAGTTAAATTTGACTGGACACATGAACAACACTCACATAAATCTCTGAAATGATCTTGGAAAATGTGAGGATGCAATAAATCTCCGAACTGACCTTGGGAAAATGCAAGGATGCAATGCAATGAGAAATACCAACTGACATCAACAAGTTCAATGTGGCGGTAAAATGAATGTGAAGAAGCAGGCATGACTGACCTTCGGACCGGGTGTAGAGGTGATGATGACTCCTCGGCTGTATCCTTTGGAACGATGAAGACGCAGACAGTCTCTCCTGCAGTTCTGGGACCTAAAGTGCACAGAGAGCGAGACACTCGTGCCCTTAAACCCACGGAGGCCTTCCTCACCACAAAACACCTCCCTCCTCATTAGCTGGTCCAAACACATCGTTTCTGATCGCGATTGGCTTGAAATGCGTTTTGTTGTTGTTGTTGCATGTGCTCGTGAAGGACTCGGAGGTCATTGGCTCTGGTTTACTACTGAGACCTTGTAATGGGACTTGGTTTGCCTTTGTTCTACTTGTGAAGGATGCTTAGTTGTGAAACCGAATAACACATCACATAGAGAAATAAAACATAGAATCAGCGTAGAAAGGTTTATGATGATGAGCTGAGGTGGACTTCCTACCTATATATTTGGAAAATAAATATTCAAAATTATTTCAAATACTAATATTTGTTCCTGCGAGGGATTTTTACACATTTAACACTACATGGGATGATCCCTTTAACTTTTAACATCAGTTTCTGTCATACTCAACTGATGACAGTGAAATATAAAAATTGGTTGGATATATAACTTTTCACAAAAAAACTGGATTGCTTTAACTATAAACTACATAAACATCACTTTGAAGCTTTTGCAGCAATTGAAAGTTGAAGCTGGGTGAAATGTGAAGTGTATATTATTTTCTTATTTTATAGCTTTAAAGATACCCAATGGCAGACTTTTAGAGGTTTTTCCTTTGTGTGTCCTCAAGTTTTTAATGATTTCAAGTTAAGCACCCCAGAAAAGTCCCTGTCAATCCTAACACTCAAAATAATTAATTGGTTTGAGTTGAGCCAACTTAAATTAAACAAATGAGTTCAATCAAATTAACTTTTATGAGTATTGTTATTTTTGTTTTGTTTTATTAACTTGATTTTTTTTATTTTGACTAACATAAATTTAACTGAAACTGAAACTGGGATTTCTATTTCCCAGTATGCTTTGCATTGACACTCAAAGGGAGAGTAAATTCTAAAATTAAGTGTTATACACTGTTAAAAAAAAGTAACCTGGTTGCCTTAAAATTTTAAGTTGATTGAAATGGAAAAATTGAGTTAATACAATGAAGGAGATTGATTTAATCATCAGAAACTCAAAATATTGTGTTATATGAACTACATAAATTATTTAAGTTGATTTGAAAAAAGAAAAAATGTTGTGATTACAAATCATGAAAATATTTTTTTACAATGTATAATGTTTTGCTGAATTACAAAATTTGAAGTAACTGATTGCCTCATTTTTTTGAGTTTTGCCAACTTATTCAGGTTTACAGTGATAACTTTTTTGGAAAAACTATACGCGCATTTTGTGTGTGTGTGCTGGGACCTGTTGGGACATTTTTTGGTCAATATGAAGAAAATGGCTCATAAATCATTGTAAATTTTGTTTTTTGAAAATCACTGTAAAAAAATATTGTTGGTTTAACTTAAAAAAAATGAAGAAACCTGGTTGCCTTAAAATTTTAAGTTCATTGAAATGGAAAAATTGAGTCTCTCTTAATCGTTCTACTCTTAATCGGTCTGCAAATCCAGTCTTGTTTACAAAACAATCCTCAGTGAAATGAAGCGAACAGATGATGTTTTACCTCATCAGCTGGAACGTCATTAAAAATAAAGTTTATCCATGCAGTCCTGTTGGAATCCAGAGGAAGCTTATATAGCGACTGTCTTCATCCACAAACAGGCACTGCACTATATTTTGTGTTGCTCGTTATATCGATCCGGTTTGTCATCAGGAGGTAGGCATCTATGTTATTTAGCAATACGTGTAATGCGCGAATCGGTGGGCGGGGCTAAACCGGCCGTGTTGAAGTAGGCGTGTTGATCTTCTTCTGGGGGGTGGTGTTTTATCCTCTTTGTCGTCATAATTCCTCACTTTGAAAAACGAGTCGTTTGCTGAGGCTGGTGTCAATAAAAGCTTTTATTGGACTAACAAGGACGTTTTCATTTCTGAAACTTACAGGATATTCTTATAATATGATGACCTCTTAGATGACCATCCCCTTTAACAAAAATAAAGCAAAAATTGAGAGGCCATGTGTGACAAACTAAGTACACCCTGTGATTCTGTCTGTAGAGCCGCCATATCAGAAATAACCTGAATTTAAATTTTTTTTATGTAATTATCAGTCTCCCACACTGAATTCTGTCTTGTCTTCTTTACATCGTTGCTTCAGTTCATTGAGGTTTGTGGGCGTAGCTGTTTCTGCACAGCTTTCTTACGGTCTCTTTTAACTTTGACTGGGTCACTGCAACACTTTTATTCTTGTCTCTATCAGTCATTCTATTGTATTTGCTGCTGTTCTGAGATCATTGTCCTGTCGCATGACCTCACATTTGACTCTATAATGCATTGGTTTATAGAGGATTTCATGGTTTTGAGCTTATAGTGCTGTCTGATGTGCATTATGGCCAAACATCTATTGATTCAATCACCTTAACCAAAAAGTCCTAAAATATATAATAATTCCAGTGACTCTTATTACATTCATCAGCATCATTCACATTTGATCAAATTACTTCAAAATCAGCCTTTTGTCATTGCGTTGTGACCTCATCAAAACAATTTTGAAATGCATTGGGTTAAAAAGTGTTTAGGAAAGTAGTATGGGATTTGTAATCAAATAATTATTATCTCTCCTCTGTAGATATGGATGAATAAGAGGATTATGTTCTAAAACAAATCAGTAATCCTTCTGAAATTGTTCAGTAGCCTACAGCATGTTATGACAGTTTCACGCTTTCCTCCTAAAACTGGTTTTGCGTTGCTCATCATAGTCGACACTATTTTTTGTTTGTTTGTTTAGTTTTATCTCATTTCTAATCTCATCTCAGTGACAATGACATGGCCAGACTGTGTGTCATCATTCTGAACGCTGTCAGTTTCTGTCACCAACGCCCTCGCGTGCGGCGTGCATGCGTGCGTGACGCGGCGCGTGACGTCACGAGACATGGCGCTCGTGCGGAAAAGTGATGCTTGACCACTGTGTTTACTGCGCTTTTGATTTTTCCACGAACCCGGGAGTGTTACAATGCTGGAAAAAGACACATCATCGCATTTAATCGTCCTAGAGAGGTAGTGAACGAACGAGCGGTTTCAAACGATGAGAATTAATCGTAAATAAGACGCCGGTAGCGGTTAGCATTAGCTTAGCTCGATGCACATCATAGCTCTGTCGTGTTAGCTAACGCTCATAACACGACATATGACTAATATCGCACAACATGAGTCTTTGACAGGGCGGATATGACAATATAGATGTACATAGACGTAGATGAGCCAATTCGGGCGTCCTTCGTGTTATTTATTTAGATGTAATAGCTGTTTGTTGGTAGTTGAGCTAGTGGATTAGCTGCAGTGGTGAGGATGGAGGCTCTTCTTGCAGGTGTGTGTTTACTGGGATTTGCCACACTCACACAAGCTGCTCCAGTCTCAAAAACACACGCAGGTAAGATGTCCAGCACGTTATAATGTGTGTTTGATCATGTTCCACTCATGTTATCATTTATGAAATGTGTGTTGGGTGTATTTACATGGTACTCCAGATGCCAGGGACCCCCATCCTAAAATTTGTCAGCTATATAGTTTAATGTCTAAAGGCCCTTTGTAAAAACTAATAATATTATAATTATGTCTAAAATAGAATGTGGGAGATATTTAGATTATAATACGTTAGTCTAATTTCTCATTTGTTGTGGCATGGTACTTATTAAATCTAAGCGAACACAGTACTACCATGGGACATGTCTAAACCATGTTAATACCATGTTAGTCTTTTGTTATGGTGTCATTAGGTGAGTTGACAGGTGACCTGGGGCTCGTTCTTCGTACGTCGCTAACTCAGTTAGCTGGATTTGATTGTTGGCGATTTGGCATGATCTTGGATCGTTTGGTTCTTCGACGCTCATCCTGGACTTGCTGTCATAGCAACAAGTCCGTCAGCTTGAACCTGCTCGCGAGCAGGCTTATTTCATGTAAACAGGATTAGATCGCGGCTGATACGGGAAGTCCTTCAGCGCAGCGCGATAGTGTAGCTTAATTTCTGAGATTTATTTTTGTTTTCTCGTGAAACGATTGTCGTGAAACGATCGTCGTGAGGGTGTCGTTTAAATACATTATTATTTTGTTGGAAATGCACATTAATGTTTGATTCGATGTCAGGCTTCAACAACAGTACAAAATGTTTGCATTGCCCTAAAATTATTTGCGAGTGGCTTCCTTTACACTATTGGAGATGCGGAGAACTTGATAAGCTTTCTGTTGTGCCATTCACAAAGTAGTGCTCTTAGTTTTTTTTTTTTTTTTTTTTTTGCCACAATGACATGAGCTTTGGCCAACTAAAGGGAAGATTTCAGGGTCTAAAAAGCCTGAGGGTTGCACCTGACAGGGCCTGTGACATTGCATGTGCCATATTACACAACACTGCCAACATCAGAAAAAGGAAAGAAAAAAAAAGTTTAATTAAGCCTAAAATAAAAGACAAGACAAATTTGCAAAACTCTATTTGCTTAGAGTTTTATTTCAATTGTTCTTTGTAAAGAAAAGCCAGTTATTCAGTCATCTTTTTAAAAGATATTATGCAAGGTCAGCAATAGTAGGCTACTCTGTGTGATTTTACTCTGAAGTTTATTTTGAAGCAACTCTATTTCTAGTGCAATTTTTTCTTAGTCAAGTTCTGTTTCTCCCCCTGATTTTTGTTTTTTCAAAAAAATACTCTTTTTTCTGTTGAAGACTCATATAGGGAACGAATTTAACCCTGTGTCGTTTGTGTCACACATGCCTCATGCAACAAATAAAAAGCAAAAGTTGTCTCTACACTGCCCACCCCTGTATCACTGCTGTGTGCAGACTCTTCTGTATAGGCCTTTCTGTACATGTGGACTCCTGTCAGAAATAATAGGCATAGGCACAATTAAAATTAAAGTACTTCCTCCAAAGGACAGTCATCTGAGAAGTTTTCTTCACTCTCCAGTGCAATGTGATTGATAACTCATGGCAAAATATTTTTACATTAACATACGTTTATCAGTTTTTACTTTCAAAAGACAAAGCAATTTATCATTACTCAAGATTTAACAGTTGAAATGACTAAACCAGCCAATTTGGATTATAGGTCTACTTCATTTAATGCAGCAACAAATTATTTCATAGTGTACAAAGATAATTTAAATCTCATTTCCCAGTGATGAAGGTGTTGCTGCTACTGGTCCCTGATGTGGGTCTGGAAGAGCTGAACCCAGGGATGCCCTTCACAACAGGGCAATTCACATTCAACCCAAGGGTCAGCTCTTCTGCCAGGGTCAGGAGCATCATTATTATTTTTTTCTCAGCCTTTTTCCTGGTTGCTTTTATAAACAGACAATCATTTATTTAACAGTGCCTTTTTAAATGAGACTAGTAGGCCTATAAGGCCTAAAATTACCATTAAGTAGAATATTTTTGTACTTCACTTTGAGCATGTCCATTAGCCTATTATAGTGCGGTGACTCGACATTACAATGAACAAAGTAGCCTAATTATGAAAATAAAAATAAAATAATAATAAGTTATTAAAACATCTAATATGGTCACCACAAACGCATTTAATTTGCCTTCTAGTTTTGCCAGCACTCTCTGCTGGCTTTTGCACACTTTGAGGTGTTCCCTGGCGTTTTAATTAAAGACTGAATTTCGCGCATAACCTTGCATTAAAAGCGCTTGCTCTGCTTAGGAGAAAAACTGGGCGTGTTCTTTGGCCATGCTGAACAGCCAATAGCAGCGCTGCTGATCACTGGTTCTGCTATCGATACATGTCCCCTTTTAAACCAACGCGAGAACGCGCAGTTATCTCAGATAACTCAATCCAGCGATACTAATCATAAACAACAGGTGTGTTCGAAGAACCCAATTAGCCGGATCATGATTAGCACGATGATCTCATCTTAGATCTCTCATTTGATCTCGGATGTTTTAAGCAACGTACGAAGAACGAGCCCCTGGTTGACCGTTGATCAAAACTGCCATCAGATAAACTGGTAATTCAACGCTAATCTAAAACAGCCATTGTCTTAGAACTGGAAATTCTTGCGTTAAAGACTGATCATGCTCATATGGTAAATGATTCCTGCTTTTGACATATGAACACTTTAATGAGTCAGTGCTATTGTGTAACAGATTGTAAACATTTGTGTTGGCCTAATGAATCATCCTCCTGATATATAAGGGATGCACTGATGCACCAAAATAAAAAATTTCAATAAAAAATGAAAATCCAGGATGCACTTGGGCCCAAAACCAAAAATAAAAATGAGTTATTCAATTGATAAATCAATTAATAATCAAACTTGGTTGATAAACAACACTCAAATTGCAAAATTAGTTGTACAAACATTTAAATTGTACATAAAGTAGGTTTTATATTGATTTTTAATAATATAATTCTTTCTAATCCACTTTTTTTGGTAAAATATAAACATTTACAATGACAACAAACAGTATTAACTTGATTTTATTCAAACATACATTAAATAATGAAGACATCACTAACAGGTTAAGTAAAAATAGAATGAATATGTAATACAGTGCATATATTTAACTAAATGTGCTTCTCTAGAGATATTTTTTTTCGAGATGACTGAGTTTATGGACATTCTTGAGGTGAATATAGATATTTTTATTGACCTCTTTTCCCAGTTGAAACACTGATTGAGCGATAATGACATGTGACAGGAATCAAGCTTCATTTCTGTAAGTTTTAACATATCTATTAACCCTCTGAGACCTAAGGGTATTTTTACAATAAATTTTCCGTCTGGTGTCATTTACTTAAAAAAGCTTGTAAAATATCAACCCTTTGGTGCACAGACAATTGACACACCTCTTTTTTTTCAGGACAAATTGAACTTTCAGCATATTTGTGTTACATTGATGTCACCTGAATGTAAAATAAGTTATGGGACCATAAAGACAAATGAAAAAATAAATCGGAAATGGAATCACTCAATTATTTATTGAAATCACACACAAATAAATAAAAGCTAAGCAATTTTCCTCTGGAAAATAGTTTGTTCATGTCTTTGGAGTCCTGGAGCACAGGAATAAACATTATAACTTGTACAGAACAAAAACTATTGACATTTTTCCAAAAGAAGTCCAGGCGTTTGGGGCCTCATGAAATTCACTGGTGCCAAGCCTCAAAACAGTTCCTATCAGCATCACACAGAGGGCCACATCACAGGTTTTGCATTTCTATTTTATTTATTCTTTTATTTATTATGTTCTTTTTATTCTTTTATAATACATTTATACTACTATAATACTTTTTTACAGTAAATAAATAAATGGCACTTCAGCTGGGTCTATCCTGGTAATCTAGTTCCTCATCTGTCAAAAAGCTCTGTTCTCCTGAAAATCCTTCATCCTGCAATGCACCAAAATAGACCAGCGCTTTATTCACGTCCATTTCGCTGTGTTTCTCTGTGAATCGCGCGTCTCCGTGAGTCTCTCTATCTCTCTACACTATATCAGCGCTTGGTTCATGCGTAATGACGCACACCAATGTTTACAACGGATCAGCCTGTAATTGGTCAAAAACCATCACGTGAAAACATCACGTGATATCCAGGATGTCCGCTAGCATCGAGCTAGCGGCAAAAATTACCGAATATTTATGAATTATGGGCTTCAAGATTATCAAAGTTTGACATAAAGCGTTTGGATTTATTGCTGAAAACCTCTGAAAGGAAGCACAAGTTCCAGGCTGGATAGAAAACCTTCTGTAAAGGCTAGAAAGACCCGAAAGACACCCCCGTGATGGCTAGCTCGTTAGCTTTCTGCTGGAAAAAACGGTAAGAAAATCGATAAATCTGTCATCGAGTTATGTAAACATTTATCGGAGGTGACGTATGGCATCGTCGACGACGCCGTCGGGCTCAGGGGGTTAACATACCTTTTGGTGGTCATCCATGTTTGTTTGGTGCCGTAACTAGTAGTAAAGAGGAAGAGATGACCTGCATTGCTGCTTGAACTCAGGCACGACAGTGATCTCTGTGTCATGCCGTATTAAAAAGTAGAGATGCACGATATATCGGCCACATTATCGGTATCGGCCGATAAATTATTATTTTTAATGTTATCGTTATCGGCCCAACAAGAACATTTGGCCGATATCTAAAAACCTATAAATAATGTATTATTTCCTTCAGCTGAGGCACTTTAGATGTGCACTGTTCAACATGATGCTTTTAAATTGCTTGAAATATGATTGAAAAAGAAAAATCCAGTTAAAGTGCAAGTCTGTCATATCGGCTACACAACATTAAAATCAGAACATCATAATTGTGTTTGTATCTTGACTTTTAATAAGGAGACTTTTTTTATAATCTGGCTCTCAAAAAATTTGGATTTAGATTTATCGGCCAATATATCGGTTATCGGCTCTCAAATATAAAGAATTATCGGTTATCGGTA